CTAAAACGACATCTTCTTTCCCAATTCAAAAGTCTTGCCTTGCATTTTAATAGATTCATTTCGGAAATGTATTTTAATTTTTTATTCTTTAATAGTTTTCTCTTCATTTAAGAGACAATAATTTGAGTCATGGACCCACACATCCGTGCCCAGGAATTGATCCGATGTGACCTTTGTAAGACTGAAATGGTACGGGTTCATTGCGATACTTGTCATGTCAAACTGTGTAATGCCTGTATTGGTGAACACATGGCATCCAAGGAATCTGAGGAAAAACACGAGATAATAAGATTTATATTTCGAAAATCGATTCCACTTTACCCTCGATGTACCCATCATGACAAAGAACGATGCGAAATGTACTGTAACCAATGTGATATGCCTGTATGCATTACTTGCATTTCTTCTGATAAACATTCAGGTCATCATTTTTTGAAAAATTTGGAAATTCTGGATGAAAGAAAAGAAAAGGTTATCAAAGAACAAAATGAATTAAATGATATATTACTGGTATATCTAACGTACCAAAAGACTGCATCTGAAGTTGAACACATGATAAAACAGATAGAAAAGGCATGTGGAGATCTCTCAATAGCCATAACACAACATGGAGAGAAATGGCACAGAGAAATTGACAAAGTTGTTCAAAAACTTACAGTAATTGTTGATGTAATGAAAAACAGACAGTTACAAACTTTACAAAGTCAGCTTGATGAAATTAACGAGAAAATTTCTGAAATAAGGAATGAAATCAATGTAATTGATGATGTGATGGGCTCAAAGGACATTTCAGAACTGTTCGGGATTACATTAAATGTAGATAAATATAGAAAACTTCCACAAAAATTTGTGCCGTCATTCCCTTCATTTACTCCAGGAACAGAAGTGGAAGAACTGTGTAGACTGTTTGGAACTATATCACCAGAGAAACATTATTACAGTATCAAAAAGGGTGAAAGATCATCAGAAGCTGGATTCTCTTCTCCAGTCAAACAGCTGCTTGATGAACCAGAGATCATAAATACCATGTACACTGAGTATGGAATAAACCTATATAATGTGGCCTGTCTGAGTGATGAAAAAATCTGGACAAGTGGAGATGAGGGTATCATGAAACTCTTCAGTGTCAGTCAGGGATCACTACTCAGAACAATCGAAACCAATACAAGACACACTTCCTGTATCAATGAAAGAAACACTTTCTGTATCAATGAAAGAAACACTTCCTGTATCTATGATATAGCAGTAACAACACACGGCTATCTAGTCTATACTGATCCTATGACCAGAACTGTGAACATTGTGAAGAATGAAGATAATAAGACTGTGATCAGACCACCGGTAAGGCGGTGGGTACCTCACAATATCTGCAGCACCTCCTCTGGTGACCTCCTGGTAGTCATCAACAGTAATGATAACGAATCATCAAGGGTTGTCCGTTACTCTGGCTCCAGAGTGAAACAAACTATTCAGTTTGATGAAATGAATCATCCTCTCTATTCATCTGTTAACTCTTCTAAATGCATCTGCGAGAACAAGAACCTGGATATTTGTGTGGCTGACTGTGGAGCTAATGCAGTAGTAGTGGTCAGTCAGGCTGGAAAACTGAGATTCAGCTACACTGGACAAATTTCTGCTCCATGGAGCCAAATATTCAATCCAAGAGGAATCACCACAGACAGTAAGAGTCAAATCCTTACAGCTGATACAAACAATCACTGTGTCCACATCCTAGACCAGGATGGGCGGTTCCTCTCTTACATAGAATGTGGACAGAGTAGTCCCTGGGGATTATGTGTAGATACAAATGACAATTTGTTTGTTGCTCAGTGGAGAAATAAAGAAGTAACAAAAATCAAATATCTGCAGGGAAATTGAACACAGAGCTACACTAAAATACAACATTGACATTAGAATGTTCATGGACATGACACATTGGCCCTCCTCGACAAATCCCGGGAGCCCGATGCCCGGGACCTGGTAAACGTTGGAAGGGGGCATGCGGAAGTTGCATACCCACAAGCCCAAAGAGCACGTAAATTTTGAGCTTAAATCTCCATAATGTTTATAACAATGTATTTTTGCTTTTGATTTGTATGATAAATTGAATTATCAGATGTTTCATTTTCATTCATGAATAATGTAACATATCAAATCAAATAATATATCAAAAACATATATACTTAAAAGTGTTTGTTGGTTTATTCATCCAAAGTAAAGCATAAAATTTATAACGACAAACGACAAATTATTCTACCACGATTTCCAAGAAACTCTTTGGAGACAGAAAAAGTGTAGAGGTTGAAAACAATGCGTGACAATTTATGCTCTTGAAAAAATGGATTTCCTAGGCATGATAAAGCGAATAAGAATAAAATTAATTAAATTCTGGGCTTGTAAATATATATATTTTTCAAGCTAATAGTAAATGGATACAACTGCTCGAAGGGAATGTGCTGAAAAAAGATTTGGGGAAGACTGTCTTCACATGTTTATCATATGTAATAACTGCGAACGATAGTATTGTTTTGCCGCCTATCTCAAAGTCAAATTTCAAAAGTTAACATATTTGAATGATTTTTCATATTTATAAAGATATTTATGTTAATTTTCATAAAACATAGCTTATTTGGTAAAACTAAGAGAGATAACTCTAATTTTGGTAAAAATTGCGTTTTTCATTATAGAAGTCAACGGAAAACGGAAAATATATTTAAAACATCCCCCCCCCCCCGTGAAATAAAAATCCCTTTTTATGGGTTTTATGAATTGTTATTTGACAAATTCATACCAAAGCTTTTTTTGTTTCAAGTGGGGGGGGGGGGGACAAAAAAACTGCAAAAATCGTCATTTTATCACCAATTTCAAATGAAATTACAAATAAAATAAGATCTTTTATCAATCGAATTTTACACAAGTTAAACATATGGAAAGTTTTAAGGGTCATTTATCCATTTCCATGTGTTTTTGTAAATCCAGCAATTTTTAAAACCTGATTTCAATGGATAAAATGTTCAACCACCCTTTTGAAAAGAGTCGATTGATCACATCATGAATCCAAAAAATTAGACAGTTATTCCTTAATTAAATGGGTGTAAAATGTAGGCGGGGATCGAGAGTTAGCATGCGTGATTTGTAATAAATAGGAAAACATCTTCCCAAGAACAAAAAAGTCAAGATAAGTCATAGTTATTTGGAAGCATCCTCAGGTTGTGTAGTTCAAAATTTGTTCAAATCATGACCCTCTGGGGTAGAGATGTGCGATTTTATCGATATATCAATAATATAATTGGGATTATTTTATTGCGTGATACGTTTCGTGATACGGAGACTAAAATACAGGTATTTAAAAAAAAATCCAAAAATTATTCATTTATTTTTTTTCAAACTATTAAATCACAATTAAAATCATTGTTAAAAATGTTGAAAAAGTTAAACAATGGCATTCAAACATGCTTTATATTACATGTATATAAATAAAAATTAAGAGGATATATCAGTATGACTTACCATGATCGGAAGTTCATAAAAGAAAGAATTTTAAAGATTTCTTCTGTATATAACTAGTACATGTATTAAAAAAAAACTTTGATCTCCTATTGTTGCCCCATCCTACCATATAAATACGAATGATTATGTTTTTGAGAAGATTTTCCCAATATATTCCTATGTAAAACTCTGATCCCTTGTTGTTGCCCTCATTACCTCGGAGTAGGGATGGGTATCGCTAAAGATTTCGTATTGTGATATATCACATATCATATGATGGTATTGATATTGAAGCATCCCGGTGTTGTGTGGATTCAACTTTTATAATTAAGTCATAACTACGTAAGAGCTATATTTCGGTCTGCAATGTGGATTCGAACTTTTTATGAAATTAAGAGGGAAATGAAGAACAGCAGAACAAATTACGAAGGTGATGAATTATATTTATCTTGAATATCAAGTTTTAATATGGCGAATTTGCTGAATATATGAAAGTCACATCTTCTATTTCACTCTACAATTTTTCAGAAACGATTAAAGCAAAATAAATTGGTTTATTCACTAAAATGCAGGTACGCTGACCTTTGGGTAACTCTGATTTTAATAGTAAATATTTTAGCTCACCTGATCCAAGGGCTTGGAGTGTAATTTTAGCCGATGTTGTACCTGTTGGATAAATGGAGATAAAATTCACAAGAAAAGTATGACGAAAGAGCTGGGGGGAAAAAACTTGATATCTTTTCTTTAATTGGGGGGGGGGGGTTACCAATAGCTTATTATCGGGTGTAGAAATATATAGTAGATTTTCTAGGTACTGAAAGCCATTGAAAGTGTCAATTAGAGCATTTCCCCTTAAATAATACTTAAGGTCAAGATTTAGTAAATGTTAAGTGCCTACAGATTAGTCAAATTTGAGAAGTGAGTTTACAAATATAGCTTGGTAAAGTAAGGTGTAATTGGACATAATTTTTAGATAAACTCAACGAAAAAGCATGTTTTAAATGTCATTTTCAATGAAAAATGAAGTCAGGTATAAATTTTGGAGTTTTTTTCCATCTCAGATAAAAGAAATGTATCAATATTGCATCCAGTCTCTCAGAAAACTTTTTTTTTTAGTATCTTCATGCCCTCTACTTTAAAATGATATTAAATTGAATATAGGTATCGGGGTTTCGTTTGACATGATTTCAAATTCAATTCCATGAAAATGCTTCAATTTGTACTTAATTCTATTACAGCCATAAAGTACGGGAAAATTTATCTTTAAATCAGTTATGACGTCATAATGGAATTAGCTTCAAAAAGACAGTCTAAGCTCATTTACTAGATCTTGACCTTAATTAATACATTCAACTATGTGTAGAGCTAGCGCTCTCAAGAGTTGAAGTACACTGTAATATGCCATGTCCAATACATTTTGACGTCATAAAACATTAAATCACTCTTGAGTATTCATGACGTCACAAACAATAAACTATTGTGGCGTCACAATCAACCATCGGAACCTTTGTTGTTAGATACAACCATTGCCGCTCTCAACAGATCATGGGTCTTCTTCAGAGTTGCTTTGCCAGAAATAACAAAGTGGGTGTGATGAAGGAAGAGATGGAGGCGTACGAGAAAGTACGACGTACAATGGTCGCAGAGGAAGTAAAAGAAAAGAAAGGCGGTGTGGCCTTTGATCTCACCTTCGTTTCAGAGGAAACCCCAAAAATGCCTCCACCCAGATTGCTCGAGAACAAAAAAGAGGATTTTGAAAAGTGGAGAGGTGGGTGAAATAAGAGTACATATATTTGACTTGAGAATTTTCCTACACTGTATTTCGCAAAGAAATGTAGATTCTTATATAAAATGTTACGTAAGTGGGTGTTCACGACTCGCAATAGGGTCTGGGTTTTAGTGGATTCTTATACAGTTGTAAGAAAATTAAAAGAGGACGTGAGATAGGCATATTAAAATGAGAATTAAAATTATTTTTCACTACTCAATTTTATTAATTAATAGAGTCTCAAGAAAAGGCACAGGCCGAGAAACAGGAACGGGCACAACAGAATAGAGATGAAGCCCGTATCCAGAAAGAGATTGAAGTGGCCCACAAGGAGATGGAGAGGCTCGAGAAATATGTCAACATCACTGCCGAATAAATTGGATCTGAACTCTTAATATTTCTGGCTAAATTTAATTCTACAAAAATTTTGAAGCTTGTAATTTAAAAGATTGGGACCAAAGAGGGGACACCCGAGCTCTTTATCTGTTGTGCAATTGTTTGGCTTTTAATTCTATTTATAGCTATTTTGGTTTATTTTTTTTTTCTTTGAAATTATTTTTTCGCAATGTGGGCCTTGGAGACAGATCTGAGGGTAGCATTGCGAAAACAAAATTTAATTATTCCAAAAATGTTCAAGTCTTTCGGAACTTTGGCCCTTAAAATACCCATTCCGCCAGGGATCAGGAATGGGTATTACGTTGGAACATCCATCCCGTCAGTGATCAGGGATGGGAGTTCCTCGTCAAAATTTTCTAAATTGTAAATGAAACATCCGTTTAGAGATGTCCAAAAGCTCCGTTGTCCTCTCTTTTCAAAATTCTGTTATTCCAATGTTTAATAAACTAATTTTTTGCAAATCCTGTATTTGTTTTTTTCTTTATCCATCACAAAAATTGTAGATTAAGTTATGATTGGATCAGGGTTTCTATTTTGAAGAAAAAAAATGTAATGAATGGAAATTATCGTCATCAATTAATTTTTGAAATCGCAAATAAGTTTTTTGAAGTCTCTTTTAAAAAAATGTGTTTGCTTCAATTATTCTGCATCATTGAACTTTCAGCTGGATGCGTGGTAATTTTTTTAATTAATACCCACGTGTATGGTTTGATAAAAATAGAATGACATTTGGGCTAATGATTTTCATTGGTTGAGAAGAAAATTTCAGCTGATACTTGTATTAAGAAATAGAGCAGTGTTTGTAAGTCAGACTTGTGAGGCTCGAAAAACCGTGTATTAAGGGTATACACACGGTAAGGCAAGAACTTAAGTTCTATGACTTATAAGGCAAGCCTTATCGTGTGTACCGGTGTAAAGACGAATAATGATCCCCATCGAATAATGACCGGGGGTCATTTTTCGACGTTGAGAAAATTAATGACTCCCGGTCATTATTCGACGTCGAAAAATTACCCCCGGTCATTATTCGATGTCGAAAAATGACCCTTTTGGCTGTAGAAAAAGTGACATCACCCTTAAAATCTGCATACCCTACGGAAAGAAAAATGACCCCCGTAGAATAGTGACCCCCTTGTAGATTTTATTAGGGATATAATTTCTTTTTTGGTTTGAAATATTTAAAATTATAAATCAAGAGGCCCGTGGATGAAAATGCTCACCTGAGGTTAATTGAGGATATAGCGATGATCTGTTCTCATTTAATAATTCAAATGTCTTTTATGATATATTGACAACATTGATCGGCTTTAATCAACTACATATATGTGTAAATTCTTCCAATTGATTTAACTAAGGTATCATTGTTTTAAAGAAGCTTTTTTTTAAATTTTCGCTTATATTCCAGATAGAGAGGAGGGATAGATAGATTTGTTTGTTTGTTGTTTAATGTCCCTTTCGAGAATTTTTCACTCATATTGAGACGACACCATTTGCCTGTGGACGGCTGCAAATTGAGACCTGTACTCGGCATTTACGGCTTTTGAGCAATGAAGGACTTTTTGTGCCAGCACAAACTGCGACATGGGACCTCGGTTTATACGGTCTTATCCGAAGGACCGGTCTTTATATACGTCGAACATTGGATTTGAACCCAAGACGTAAGGATCAACTCTTTACGTCGCGACTCTACTGAGAGCAAGCGCTCTAACCACTGCACCACGCGGGCGACTAGAGAGAAAAAGAATTGTTTATAAAAATCTATCTACCGCTTAATCAAGTTGCATCCAGGTGTCTTGGGGTTTTTAAGTCAATGGTTTAAACAGTGCACATACATTTAATTAAGGGACATTTAGCAAAAGTGTCTTACAATTTTAATGAGAAGAATTACATAATGTTTCAGAGGCATTCGTACATTTTCATGAAAACCAAAAGAACAAGCGTTAATAATAAGCCATAAAAAATATATGGCAAACAAAAAAGTTTAGATGCAAGCAATTAGAACCTAAATTGCAAAGAATTAGAGTCATTGAAAAAATATCCATATCTCGAAACTAGCGTGCACTTGATTCATGTTTTATACATGTACCATGCTCTCCTTTATAAGAGAAAAGACTTGTCCAAAGAAGAAACAACAAATCTGTTTGAACAAATATGTAATTCGCTAAATTATTCAAGTAATTCAATATCCAGTTCGTCCGAACAATTCAGAACAAAAATAATTTAATCTACTTTCTTCTAGCCTACGAGTATACATAATTCGTCCAAAGAATGTATTTATCCACACAAATATTTTGGTTGTCTGAATGAAGAACTAACTTGTCAGAACTATTATCGTCTTGTAAGAAGAAATGTCTTATTCATCCAAACAATTGTTTTTCTTTTCTCGGCTTTAACGGCACCATACTACTGCATGATATTCCGTATTTAGAAAAGTTTCTTTCATGGTTTTTTTTTTAAAGAACTAGGTTCACTTAAGGCCTTTTTCGGCCCTGTAAATTTCTGAAAAAGTGAAAGTACTATGTTTTAGTTGGCGATGCATTAATCTCATTTGGACCCTTGGAAACTGTGTATCTGTCAAAAATGACGCAATTTACTGGCTAGTCAATGCATTATGACGTCATGAATTGTGTCATTTTTTCCATATCCTAAAAATTTCTACAAAAACGGCCAAACTTTTACGCTATTTTTCAATACTTTGTATAGAGGGCAACCTCTGATCTAAAATGTGCAATTATATAATGATAGAAATGTTTCTCAACATTACAAAACATGATTTATTTTTGGATCGAAGGGAGCGCTTAATATATTGTTTTCCTCGCTCAAAGTACTCAAATTAACTCATTTTCTTTGAAATTAAAAAAAAATTGCAATTTCACAAAGCCTGTTTTCCAATACCTGGACTCTCAGAGAAACTTTTATATAGGAAATGAAAGCACTCTACTTTATATTGATGTTTGAGATGGGACATTGATTGTTAGTCAACAAATTGGTGTATCTACAGGGCCGTTTTATGCAAAAAGTGAACCCAGCTCTTTGTTGAAGTTATCTAGATTCTAAAATTACAAATGTATTTACTAACAAGGTCAATGAACAGGAATTTTAGAAATGCTTTCTTTGATTGAGGCGTTGGAAGCTCTGTAACATTAACTTATTTGTCTTTATCTTGTTTCTTGTTTAAAGTTGTACTCAAAACATGCTCTAGAGTACCGAATAATTTTAGAGACCTATGCCATATGCTGGCGATAGGGAAAAATCATTATATAAATACATGTTAGAAGTTGGAAAAGCCGATTCTGAAGTCATCCCGTTTGTTAGTTTCACAAACGTCAATTATAATAAATTATCGAAATATGAAACTGATTATAAAACAGATTAAAACTAGAATGTTTGCTATTGCAAGCAATAGACATACACAATGACCCATGCCTAATGATTACTTGATGGAAGATTTTCTGCCTCCCCTAAGAAAAAAAAACTCTCTAACTGTACACGTTAGTTAACTCGTTCGATGTATGAAAAAGTGTATCAAACCGATTCCATGGCAATGGAAACAATTCTTAAATCTTAAATGTAAATGCATTTGTGAAGTTTCATAAAGATTTCCAAACCATCCATGAAAACATTCCCTTACAAAACTTGTGTTTTTATGTTTCCATGGCAATTTAAGGGTGGTTAGTTTGAAAAATCGAAATATTTGATGAATATTAAGAGTTGTTTATCGTCATTTCTGAAAAATTTCATTAAGTTTGTCCAAGACATCTAGAAAATGCTCGGACAAAATAATAGGTCAAGAGATAACAATATAGCGTCCTGACATGCGTTCTTGACGACATAATAACAGCTTTAACCAATAGCCACTGAGATCACAATACGTTTAATAAAAACAAACATTACGTAATGCTGTTTGATACTTTCAATTGCGTGTTCGTCCAGTGTTTACAAAAAAAAAAAAAAAAAAAAAAAAAAAAAAAACGGAAAAAAATACACGTTGAGACCCAAACCTTGCATCAATCTTCTTTTTAAACTTTGTATCACTCTGTAGGGAAGGGGGTCATTTTTCAACTGGGGTCAATTTCTTATCGGTTACCCCTAGGTTTCTTTTTCTACAAAAAATTACAATTTTCTACGGATAGGGGGTCATTTTTCGATGACCCCCGATCATCTTTCTACGGGGGTCATTATTCGTCTTTACACCGGCCCTATAATGCCTATTGGAATCGGTATAAATAATCCAAGGTGAATTGAATGTTTCACATGAAAGAGCAATAGCTGCCTTGCCGAACAACACAGTCGACTCAGAACTTAAAAGGAAATTACCTCTTCAATTCAAGAACAACCTATTTAATATCAATTGTGGACGAGTGTTATATTTTCATAGGTGCATTCATGTCATATATAACAATTATTTTTCATGTTCATTACTCTTATTTCAAGACAAAATGCTTCAGAAATGAGTAAAGATAAAATACGTATATCTATGAATGAGCAAAATTCAATGAAACCTTTTAGAACTCTTTTTCCCGAGATTTTTTCAAAGTGTAACGTGTATATTAAAACTTTTTGACATCATATTAATAAAGATGTGAAATATTTGTGTTTTGAGACTCCCCCCTCCCCGTTTATGTTTAGTTTGTACATGTACTATTCATCATATTGTGTTCATATTCATTCTATATTTCATCATCATATGTAAATGGATTCCCTAACAGCAATTATATTTTAATTGTACACAAACGTTTACGACGTTATATACTACAAAACGATGTTTGGCAATTCCTATTTTTTTCATCTTTAGTAAAAGACCAGTTTTCCGAGGTGTCATGGATACTTAAAAATATGGACTCTTATGATTATATCAGTAATTATTATGCATGTTTATTATAAAATAAATTCAGGAAGTTTGAAAAATGACCTTTCGATCGAACCTAGGTTGAAAGCCAAGATATTTATATATTTTGAAATGTGTTGCAAAAAGTGGTGACAATATAGCTTGCCTTGGCGGGACAGACTATTACATTTAAACTTTACAGTTCATTGTGTAAATTGATCCTTGTTTCCGTTTCAGTTTGCGTCTGCCGGCCACGGTTTTTTTTTTTCCTTTTTGGTCAGGGCTTAATTTCTAATTTATAAAGGGGGGGGGGTTAAGGTTATTGCACTTCGTCCTCGAACGTCATTATTTTATCATTGTTAAATTATACGCAAATGTATTGTAAATTCTATTATAACTTACCTTCTTTGTTGATTACTATGCATTTGTTATACGGTTGGACGTCACACGTTTCGTATTTTCGTGATTTATTCCACTTCAGAGATGTCGTCTGTCATTTTGGTCTAGATACTTTCGATCCTTTTTGTTAGCTTAAGCGCACTGCGCATGTCCGGTAGTTTACCAATATATAAACATCACCAGGGACGCTGAACTTTCAGTTCGACTTTGCTGAACGCCTGCTAACAATCTTTAAAACAACTAATACGTAATTACCGATATTTTTATGGGTAATTTTCAACGAGTCATTAACGTCTAAGTAGTTTTACTATAACTTTCATTGGCCAAATTGATTTATTAAGGAATTCAACAGTTATTATAACAACATACCATATAACAATGTGACGTCCGACCTGACCAACTGTACTACATCACCATATTGTTGATTATCGTGTTTTCCTGCCATCTATATCATATTTATTCCGTTATTAAGTTATTGATGAAACTTAAAATATAATATAACAGGTTAAAATTCAGGTCGTTTCGATAGAGCCGCTTCTGAAGTTCTGTAAGTTCTGCTTTGTATTTGCGTATTGTCATATTATTGTGCGTATCTTGAAAAAATTTGTATGAATTAAAATCGTCGTATTTGTCACTGAGTAACTGAAATAATTTGATGAACGTCGCGGTTTCAATACCAAATTACCACACGTGTGTGTTAACTATAGGGGCCTGTGGAATCTAATCTTATCTTGACTCTTGAGGCGCACGTAATTCTTGAAAGCTATAAATATAAAGTTGCACAAGTTTCATTGACATCTCAACACAGGTATTGTCATTTTTCAATACAAAAAATATTACTTCCGTGCGTATATAGATTAGATGCATATTGCATGCTACTGTGAGGTTTACTCAGGTAGGTAAATTAATGAAATTTAGAGCATACGTGATATGTTTCTGCTAGGAATAAGGGAAACTGCCCAATCACGTATGCTTGTTATGACAGCCCCCCCCCCCCCCCCGATGATATCCACCTTGACTTTTGTTAAAATTTAATTCAATTGGGTTGCAATACATTTTAATTTCTTTACCTTATTTTAAACTTTATATAGTAATACTGGGTACCCTTGATTACTAGGCCTAGATGATTGTATCTTGTTTAACGTCCCTCTTGAGAGTTTTTCTCTCATATGGAGACATTGCCATTACCGGTGAAGTTCCTGGCGCGAGGGGATGCTCCGCTTAGCGGTGCTCTTGTTTAGTTTAGTTTTTTAGTGTATAAAATCCTAAAATCCTCAGAACAGCAGGGCAAAGGTGAGCATTACGGTCTATGGGCTTCTTCTTTGACACTGAAAACCCTGAAGAGGGATGGACGTACCCCTTTGAAGCTCTCATTTTTCAATAAAGAATGAAATATATTTATATTGAATATAAGTTTATGGTGAATTTGCTGAACACATGAAAGTCACATTTTTTTTTTTATAAAACTCTAAATATTTTCCAGAAACAAATGAAAGTAAAATGTACAAGTTGTACAGAAATCAGCGCTTCCCTTGAAATCATACCTTTTTGATGGTAGCTTACTGGTTTATTCAATAAAATGCAGGTACGCTGAACTTTGGGTAATTCTGATTTTAATAGCGAATATTTTAGCTCACCTGATCCAAGGGCTTGGAGTGTGATTTTAGCTATGTTCTACTTGTTGGATAAATGGAGACAAAGTTCACAAGAAAAGTATGACGAAAAAGCTGGAGGAACAAGAATAGATATGGGTTACCCCATATCCAAGATATTCGACTCTTAATTTACTCGAATGTTCACTGTGCTCAACTGATCTCTAAGAAAAAAATTGAACTTGGTATGAAACTAGTGTATAGTTCTTCATATCCGTAGCAAATACTGTCACCAGTGCACACCGCTTGCAAGACCAGTAGCTCTACTGCTAGGTCTACGCACGTGCGATCAGAAATCTGTGCAGGTGTTGTATAACCACTCCGTCATCAAAAGAAAAAAACCCCACACAATTAATGATTAACATTCTCTCTCAGAAGAAGCTGTATGATAATTAACGAACAATAATCATGAAAGTAATATAATTGGTGAAAAAATTGTCAATCGAAGATTGACCTAATTATATATTTTCGTGAAAAAGACTGAGGATGCAGCTAGCGTAGGAATATGAATACTTCTTATTTACATTTCTGGGGGGGGGGGGGGGAGTGATTTTCTTACAATCATTTTACGTTAAGTTTGTTTTCTTCCACGTATTACATACATATCGATATTCTAAACATTTGTTGTAATGTTGTATCTGCTGATCATAAATGGAACAATATTTTTTCAGAGCAACTGTGTGAAGAGTACCCGACTTTAGTAATATATCTTGAATCAGTAGATAGTATGCACTGATCGAATATATTAAAAAACTTGATATCCTCCTTTTTTTCGGGGGGGGGGGGGGTACCAAAAGTTCTCGTCGGGTGTAGACATACATAGTAGCTTTTCTAGGTACCTAAAGCCATTGAAAGTGTCAGTAAGAGCATTTCCTCGTAATTAAAGACGTACAACAGAGTGGGGGAGATAACTCTTGCAATTTCACTTAAACGTTTAACATGACGTCAAATTTGACGTTAATAATAAAGCGTCAAAATGACGAGCGATATGATCCCGATGTATTAAAAGTAGAAACAGAAAAATGAGATTAGGGGCTTGATTGTTATTTCTTTACGAGTACCAAATTCTATCATTGATTATTTTCTTTAATTAAACCCCTCCCCTCTATGAAAAGGAAGAAACGAAAGATTACCCCTTAAATTTCTCTACTTTCATATTATGTAAATCGTATCCGTGATCAAAGTACAACATTTTCATCTTAAGATTTTTATGTTACATTGTTTTTTTTTCCTGTTACAGTTGGCTACATAACATTCCGATTACAGGTCTATCGTATAAAATTTTATGCATTCACCAAATAAATATTGGTTTGTTCTTCTTTTATATATACATGTATAATAAACAAACAAACAAGTAAGGGAAAAAATATACAAGTATTTTACAATATAATTTCAGAAACTCACTGATCAAAGAGGAACAACTCTAAAAATTGTGGGATATGTTTGTTTTCCCTCCCTTTAGTTGAGTTATTCCTCCTGTTTTCCGAACAATTATGTTTTTTCACGAATACACAGATCTATACATTTACAATCAGACCGGCCTGATGAACTCGAGAACTGAATACTGTAATATTATATGTACAAAGTAAGTATCGAAAGTGAAAAGGAATTGTTTACAGAAATTATTGGAATTCATGGATATCTCATTGCAGCAAACTGTCCAACATGAACAGTGTCGGTTCGCATTTCCTCGAATCAAAACAAAACGTTTTATATCACTATACACATGAATAATTTTAAAATTAATGAAGAATTTAAAGTTCAAGTTGATACATTGAAGTTAATATGGATGAAAAATCTTCCATTTTATCTATAGAAGCAACGGAAGTATGTATACAATATCGGGGGGAGGGGGGATCCCCACACACTCCGGAACATTTGTTTGAAAATATTAAGAAACTATAAATATTCCATTTATATCACAGGACAGTTGAACATACGCCATTGTGAGTTCACATTTAACAAGAAATAAAATTAAAATTGATTAAATAGTATAGTAAATTTCAATGTCAGTTGAATTTCATACCCAAGTACGAAATATGATTGCATATGTATGGACTATGTACATACCGGACACGTGGGCATAAAATCCTAAGTAAGTTTTACCTAAATCAGAACATTTTATTAGTCGATATTTTATATGCATACACGAATAAACAAATTACTACTTCAGGAATTCAATGGACTAAATATAACTGCAATGTATGCGATGTTTCATTAAGCTCGAATAGTCTGTATCACAAAAAAAGTAAGGAGGAAAAAAGGGGGGGGGGGTCGTAGTAAAAAAAAATCGCCTATAAATCTACATTTAAATGCGATTTACATTTGAAAACTCTGATAAAATAAAATGTAAATATCATTTTTAAAGCAAAAAATATTTTCCAGCTTGGAATTTTTATGTGTATTTGTAGATTCATATAGCATTTTATCGTCCCAAGTTTGAAAGACGCTTGAGAAACGTGATTTAGGAAGAAAGGCGGAGGGGGTGATTTTCCGCTATTAATTCAAAACGGGTCGTTTAAAAAATTACAAAAAATTATGATGATTATTTTTTGCAACCCGCTACATAAAGAATGTATTTTTTTTTAATTAAACGATAGGTTTTTTCATGAAAAAATATTTAAATTGAAAAATACGCAATTTTCAAGGCTAAGATGAACCATAGTTTTTCAGTTTAAGGTCTTCAAAAAAAATTGTGTCGATATATACTTCTACAAAATTACTTTATTTGTATGTTACATGGTCAAACCAATTAGTCGATGAAGTTTGACAGCCAGGCTATCCCGACTTTTTTGAAAATCAAGGATTTTATAGTTTGTTGATTTCTTCTCCTCGTGAACAGCTAAAGGGGGGGGGGGTAACTTTGGGAACTTCCCGTCCAAATACGACTCGAACGCTTTTGTCCAAAATGTGCATTCACATAGAAGATATAGTCATGTATGAAATGTACAAAAATAACGAAAATTAAACGACAGGAATTTTTGTACATCCTTAAATAACACTTATGATGTAATGCGTATACATGCCATGCCAAATTCATTTTGATCACGCTTGAGTATTCATGACGTCATAAACAGTAAACGTATTGTGACGTCACAGTCAATCATCGGAACCTTTGTTGTTACAACCATTGTTGCTCTCAAAAGATCATGGGTCTTCTTCAGAGTTGCTTTGCCAGAAATAACAAAGTAGGTGTGATGAAGGAAGAGATTGAGGCGTACGAGAAAGTACGACGTACAATGGTCGCAGAGGAAGTAAAAGAAAAGAAAGGCGGTGTGGCCTTTGATCTCACCTTCATTTCAGAGGAAACACCAAAAATGCCTCCACCCAGATTGCTCGAGAACAAAAAAGAGGATTTTGAAAAGTGGAGAGGTGGGTGGAATAAGAGTACAAATATTTGACTTGAGTTTTTTCCTACACTGTATTTCGCAAAGAAATGTAGATTCTTATATAAAATGTTACGTAAGTGGGTGTTCACGACTCGCAATAGGGTCCGGGTTCTAGTGGATTCTTATACAGTTGTAAGAAAATTAAGAGGACACGAGATAGGCATATTAGAATGAGAATCAAAAATATTTTTCACGTACTCAATTTTATTAATTAACAGAGTCTCAAGAAAAGGCACAGGCCGAGAAACAGGAGCGGGCACAACAGAATAGAGAGGAAGCCCGTATCCAGAAAGAGATTGAAGTGGCCCACAAAGAGATGGAGAGGCTCGAGAAATATGTCAACATCACTGACGAATAAATTGGATCTGAACTCTTAATATTTCTGGCTAAATTTATTTCCACAATAATTTTGAAGCTTGTAATTTAAAAGATTGGGACCAAAGAGGGGACACCCGAGCTCTTTTTCTGTTGTGCACTTGTTTGGCTTTTAATTCTATTTATCACTATTTTGGCTTATGTTTTTTTTTTCTAAATTTTTTTTTCGCAATGTGGGCCTTGGAGACAGATCTGAGGCTAGCATTGCGAAAACAAAATCTAATTATTCCAAATATTTCCACGTCTTTCGGAACTTTGGCCCTAAAAATACCCATTCCGTCAGGGATCAGGAATGGGTATTACGTTGGAACACCCATCCCGTCAGTGATCAGGGATGGGAGTTCCTCGTCAAAAATTTCTAAATTGTAAATGAAACATCCGTTAAGAGATGTCCAAAAGCTCCGTTGTCCTCTCTTTTCAAAATTCTGTTATTCCAATGTTTAAGAAACTAAATATTTGCAAAACCTGTACTTGAGTTTTTCTTTGTCCAATAAAAAAAATGTAGACTAAGGTATGATTTTCATTAAGTTGGACCAGGATTTCCATTTTGAAGATGAAAAAAATGTAATGAATGGAAATAATCGTCATCACTTATTTTTTTTTTAATTGCAAATAAGCCTTTTGAAGTCCCTCTCAAAAAACTGGGCCTGCTTCAATTATTCTGCATCATTGAACTTTCATCTGCATGCGTGGTAATTTATTTGCTAATCATGATTTACAGACAATATTACGAATATCAAATTCCAGGAAAATATCACTGTGTGCACAACAGTATGGAATCCGGTTAGGGACACGTAGTTCAATATCACACCATCGAACATCGGCTATAGGGTCAATGGCGCGATAATGCGATGACGATGAAGCAATGGCGCTGAAACAATGGTGCGATAGGGCGATGACGATGATGTGATGTTGCGATATTTAGTCTGATCAGGATGATTTAATGTCTCTCGTTATCTACAGAGGGTATTTTTCTGACACTTTTCTTGAAGGTAGGAGAGTGAAAAAATTCACAGTGAAAAAGAACTTGTTTGTCATTGTAAAAATATCAATTTTATTCATTTTGGATAAATAACAGAAGTTCATTGTTGAAAATGTAATAAAGTACAATATACTCTGTAATTTTTCGGGAGATTCTTCCAATCTTTAACAAGCTACATTCTAAGAGTATTGCATAATCTATACTAGTAACCTACCGGCAAGTGGTGTAATCTGATTTCCCTTAAAACTTAAAAAAGGCCGTAATTCCGTCAAAGATCATTAAAGCGGAACAAAATGCAACTTGATCTATATCTCATCAAGGTAGACTCGCATATCAAAAGAGCAGCTTAATATCTGCAAATGTTTCGAAAAAAGTGTGGAAAACCCAGCTCTCGACAGGCAGAGGGACAGGCGGACGGACAGCTAGACAGACAGACAGGCGGACGGACAGCTAAATAGACAGAGGGACAGGCGGACGGACAGCTAGACAGGCAGAGGGACAGCTAGACAGACAGAGGGACAGGCGGACGGACAGCTGGACAGACAGAAGGACAGGCGGACGGACAGCTAGACAGGCAGAGGGGCAGACGAGAAGGCAATCTTTATCCCCTTCCAATTTCACCGGTAGGTCACTAATAACGTATGTTTTATTTTGGAAGCGCTTTTGTTTTGACAAACCTAAATGGCTAAAATACATGCAGTCGGCATTGCATACTTTTAAGTAATTATTGTATATACGTTCGCTTATGTTCTTATCTATGTTGTTTAATTTACACAAGAAATAAGTCCATAAATTTTATGTTTATGATTATTTTAATGCGTCAATTAATATTATATCCCTAAAACGACGCATTATGTACACTGAACATGTCCGGAAATCGTTGCCAGGGTTTTTTCGTATTTGAAAATTATATTTCAGGTAGATTATATAGATTATCGAAATATGAAAATATCATGAGCAGTTTTCTGAACAAATCAATATGATGTTCATGTTGCCGATGCAAATAACAACCAGAAGTCTCTGACGAGACTGTAGCTCTACTGGTTGTATTTATAAAGGAAGATTAAAGTAGCACTTGGACTTGAAACTTTGCAACAGCAATAAATAGAATAATGATCCTTGGTTTAGTCTCTTTTGTGGCAAGATTTATTATTATATCAGACTAAAACTGTAGGAGGAGTAGCCTTTTAAAACAATTTTACAGAAATTTTGATTTAAGTAACCATGGCAACATCATTCAACAAAATCAAAAAACAATTACACCAATTATGTATCTCTGTAGTCTACTTGTATGCCACATTATACTGAAATCAGACAAAAAGTGTAGGAGGAGTAGCGTTTTGAAAGTATTTCAAGAAAATTTCTATTTTTAGTAACCATGGCAACACTGTTCATCGAAATCCGAAACTGGTATAGAGAATTATGTATCTTAGTGTAGTTTACTTGTGTGCTAAGTAATACTAAAATCAGAACAAAACTGTAGGGGTAGTATTTTGAAGGTATTTCAAGGAAATTTCTATTTTCAGTAACCATGGCAACAATGTTCATCGAAATCAGAAAATCAATATAAAGAATTATGTATCTTATTATAGTCTACTTGTGTGCCAAGTTATTTTGAAATCAGATTAAAAATGTAGGAGGAGTAGCATTTTGAAAGTATTTCAGAAATTTCTATTTTTAGTAACCATGGCAACACCGTTCATCAAAATCAAAAACCGATATACAGAATTATGCATCTTAGTTAGGCTACTTGTGTGCCAAGTTATATTGAAATCAGATCAAAACTGTAGGAAGAATAGCATTTTGAATGTTTTTCACAGAAAATTCTATTTTTAGTAACCATGGCAACACCGTTCATCGAAATCAAAAACCGATACACAGAATTATGTATCTTATTGTAGTCTACTTGTGTGCCAAGTTATATTGATATCAGACCAAAACTGTAGGAGGAGTAGCATTTTGAAAAATTGTTTACAGACGGACGGACAGACAGACAGACGGACGGACGACGGACACCTTACTATCGCATAAGCTTTTCTGGTCTCTGACCAGTAGAGCTAGAAATCGGGTGACGTGATTCAATCACGTGATTCACGTGATCGGATGACGTGATTCAATCAGGCCCAAGGGCCTGAATGGTCACCTGAGTACAATACAACAATTTAGAGGATCCATAAACTGATAAATGAAGCTTTGGTGCATGCCCAAAAGCAAGAAAAATAGTATGATTAGCATCACCAAAAATAACTGGTCTAGTATTTATCTGTCCCCCATTTAACACTATTATCATGCAGACCATTAACAAAATGTATATTTTTTAACTCCATATTATTACTTCTCACATAGGCCTCTACTGGCCTTTGAAAAACATTTAAAAAGATAAGTTATTTTTGTCTCATTTTTATTCGTCTACTTGATCATTAAAACTATGAAAGTACTTTTTGTATTATACAATAAATATTCTTGCATAATTCTCATATTCTATTAACCTTTCAAATACATTATTTCCCAGTGATTAATTATCAAAGGTGAATGGCAAAGGGGAATAACTTTGCTCAGCAGAATACAAGTTAATAGAGCCCTGGCCAGGACCAGGCCCAGGGACCATAAAACTTAGACAAGCTCACTTTTGATCTCAGTCTCACTTTTCTTCTATTAATTCCTTTGGTAAAAGTGAGACTGAGATCAAAAGTAAGCTCGTCTAAGTTTTATGGCCCCGGAGCAAGAACACTTGACTAAATGGTCCAGGTGCTCAAAATTCTGGTAAAAATGCCCTTGCATATTTAAACTTTTACTCTGTTTGCCTCGAATATGCCCAGAAGCATATAAGATTTTCAACGAAATGCATTTTCACTATATTACTAAATAAATAAAGCCCTATCCTTACACCAGAACATACCGTTCACGGTAGCTCAGTCGGTAGAGCGCTCGCTCCGTGATCAGGAGGTCGTGAGTTCGAATCTCGGCCGCAACTGACCTAAGTCGATAAAAAATGGGTAACAACTGTTCTTTCGCCTTGCGCTCGGCACTTTGAAGTGAAAGTTGCGGGTCCTTCGGATGAGACCTTAAAAACCGAGGCCCCGTGTCACGGCGGGCGTTGGCACGATAAAGATCCCTCACTGCTCAATGGCCCTGAGTGCCGAGTAAAGGTCAAATTTTGAAGCCCTTCACTGGTATATGGTGACGTCTCTATATGAGTGAAAAATTCTCGAATGGGACGTAAAACAATATACAACATACAATACACCAGAACATCTGACCCATTGGCCATGAACTCACAATTCTGGATGAAGCACCCTTGCTCATCATAACTATACACTTTTTTCTTTGCTTTATGACCAGTAGTAGAAAAAAAATATTTTGAAAGAAATTATGCATTTTCATTATATAATCAATAGACCCCCCCCCCTTCATAAGAACGCCTAACTCAGGGGCCAATAATTCCACAATTTTGGATTAGGCATTCTTCCTTATCATAACCATGCACTTCCTCTGTTTGAAAAATACCCAGGAGCAGAGAAGAAGATTTTGAAAGAATTTATGCAGTTTCCCTATATAATCAATAGAGCCCCGCCCTATTACCAGAATCCCTGACCCAGGGGCCATGAAATTCATAATTTCTGAGGAGGCAGCCATGCTCATCATGACTATGTACTTAGTTTATTTAATATCCAGGAGCAGAGAAGAGGATTTTCACAGAATTAATGCATTTTCACTATATATATATATATATATATATATATATATATATATATATATCAATAGAGCCCCGCCCTAACATCAGAACCTCTGACCCAGGGGCCATGAAATTCTCAATTTCTGTAAAGGCAGCCAGGCTCACCATAACTGTGTTCTTAGTTAGTTCATTTAATACCCAGGAGCAGAGAAGATTTTCAATGAATTAATGTATTTTCACTATATAATCAATAGAGCCCCGCCCTAACACCAGAACCCGACCCAGGGGCCATGAAATTTACAATTTTGGAAGAGGCAATCATGCTCATCATAACTATGCACTAATTTAGTTTATTTAAAACCCAGGAGCAGAGAAGAAGATTTTCAAAGAATAAATGCAATTTTACTGTATAATCCATAGAGCCCCGCCCTAACACCAGAACCCCTGACCCTAGGGCCAGGAAATTCACAATTTTGGAAAAGGCACTCTTGCTCATCATAACTATGTACTAAGTTAGTTTATTTAATACCTAGGAGCAGAGAAGAAGATTTTCAAAGAATTTATGCATTTTTCACTATATAATCAATAGAGCCCCGCCCTAACACCAGAACCCCTAATCCTGGGGCCATGAAATTCACAATTTTGGAACATGCACTCTTGCTCATCATAACTATGTATTAAGTTAGTTTATTTAATACCCTGGAGCAGAGAAGAAGATTTTCAAAGAATAAATGCAATTTTACTGTATAATCCATAGAGCCCCGCCCTAACACCAGAACCCCTGACCCTAGGGCCAGGAAATTCACAATTTTGGAAAAGGCACTCTTGCTCATCATAACTATGTACTAAGTTAGTTTATTTAATACCTAGGAGCAGAGAAGAAGATTTTCAAAGAATTTATGCATTTTTCACTATATAATCAATAGAGCCCCGCCCTAACACCAGAACCCCTGACCCTGGGGCCATGAAATTCACAATTTTGGAACATGCACTCTTGCTCATCATAGCTATATACTAAGTTAGTTTATTTAATACCCAGGAGCAGAGAAGAAGATTTTCAAAGAAATAATGCACTTTCAGTATATGATCTATATAGCCCTACCCTAGCACCAGAACCCCTGACCCTGGGGCCATGAATTTCACAATTTTGGTAGAGGGCTCAATGCTTATTACAATCATGCCAACAGTTTGACTGCTTGATGTCCAGGAGTAAAGAAGAAGATTTTTAAAGATTGCATTAATTTTGGTGGTTTTAGCCCCACTCCTCAGGCCCCAGGAGGGCAGGGACAATGAAATTCATAACTTTTGTTCCCCTTCACCCATAGATGCTATATGCCAAATTTGGTTGAAATTGGTTAGGCGGTTTCAGAGAAGAAGCTAAAAATGTTCAAATGTTAACACACGACGACGGACGAAAACGGATAGCAATAGGTCACCTGAGTGACTCAGGTGACCTAAAAAGAATGATAATGGTGTTAATACCATTACACCAACTTAATACCAATTAATGCCAACTGATGCACAGTTTCAACGCTTAAAAACCTTACATGTCTCATAGTATTAGCCAAGGAGAAAAGTAAAGATTCAAACTTCTGTATATTATATCCTGTCAAAAAAATTCTTCCATTGTAACTAAGCAAATCCTAGACGAAGTACGTGTATATGTAAACAGACATTTAAAGTTATTTTGTAAAAAAAAAAAATACAGTTTAACGTTTTAGTATTGAATTTTAATATAGATTTACCCTACAACAACAACCCCTTCGTTGCAATGAGCATGATAACCATTGACGCCATGACAGACGGAATGTTCATCCAATCCACGCTGAGTCGTGTAAAGGTGACGTACATAGGGGTCATAATGCGCATCCATCCATCGCGCACCACTCAAAGTCAAGTGATTGTCTGCTACAAACCTGTTTATCTCGAATAGACATCTACAATGAAAAGTGAACAATTACTTTTTGGAACAATTCGAACGCAAACATTTCAGCTTAATCTTATTCGACGTACATCAATTAAGTAAATCTTCAAAACGGCTATGTTGACAGGGTGAAAGGGGGGTGCGAGGTAGAAGAGATTGGAAGGAAGAGAAAGGGAAGATTGTTATTTTACGCCCCATTTGAGAATTTTCCACTCGTGTAGTGACGCCACCAGCTTTATGTGAAGTGGCACAACAGGGGCGTCGGAGGACTTTGTTAAAACATTGAGGAGGCGAGACAGTAAAGGGGGGAGATGGTTCGGACCTGATTCAACATAAAATTAAGATTTTCCCTAGCATCTTCTATTTATTTTTTTTTGTCATTAACCTGATAACACCATTTGAAATAATACAAAGTTGTATTCTATATTTTATTTGTTTTTACTTAAAATAACAAAAAAATCAATATTTTGATATCATAGTTACTAAATAATATATTTATGGCGTTTGTACGGCCGTGATAGTGAAGGTTCTTTATCGTGCCAACGTCTACCATGAACTCCGTTTTTTAAAAGTAAGGACATATCCGAAAGACCGGTAACTTTATTACTTTTAATGAAGGGTACAGACATCAGACTTATGGTGGTGTGACCATTGTAAGGCGCCGTTTTGGTATTTATTGCCATTAAGTGTTATCACCTATTCAAACATATGATATCACTCATTCACACTGAATAGGTGATATAACCTACTAGTATTCGCGAATAGGTTATTTCTTTTATTTGAATAGGTGATATCACAGTGATATTCAAAATGAATACGTGATATCACTTATTTCGTATCACCTATTCAAATCAAAAACGTGACATCACCAATGTGAAAAGGTGATATCACCAATTCAAATTTAATAGGTGATAGCCTCCTATGACCAATCATGGTTTTCTTGAGAAGACTTCTAATGATTTTTTCCTATGTATACCCATGTAAAACTTTGATTGCCTATTGTAGCCCCGCCCTACCTCAGGGATTAGGAGTTGAATAAACTTGAATCTACACAACCTGAGGATACTTCCATATAAATATACTATATATTACTACGTGTAATCATGGTTTTGCTGTTCTTGGGAATTTTTTAATGATTTTTCCTATGTATACCTATGTAAAAATTTGATTGCCCATTGTGGCCCTGCCCTAACCGATTTGAACAAACTTGAATCTACACTACCTGAAGATGCTTCCATATAAATATGACCAATCATGGCTTTGCTGTTCTTAAGAAGATTTTTTAAAGATTTTTTCTGTTTTCTTATGTAAAACTCTGATCGCCCAATGTAGCCCCACCCTACCCACAGTGGCCATGATTTGAACAAACTTGAATCTACACTACCGGTATGTCAAGAAGCTTTCACATAAATTTCATCTTTTTATTTTACCCAGTGGTTCCTGAGAAGATTTTTAAATTATCTTATCCAGTTTTTACTTCTTCTTAAATATCTCCCCTTAGAAGAGGCTGTTGCCCTTCATTTGAACAAACCTGAATCCCCTTTCCCCAAGAATACTCTGTGCCAAGTTTGGTTGAAATTGGCCTGGTGGTTCTGCAGAAAAATAAATTGTAAAATATTTACAAGAGATAACGGACAAATTTTGAAAAGAAAAGCTCACTTGAGCCTTCGGCTCAGGTGAGCTAAAAAGGAAATGATTATCAGATATCCGACTCTGGCCTCCCACTCACAAAGCGAGCTTCTAACCACTAGGCTACCACAAGGGAGGAAGGAGGCTAACGAGCAGTAGGATATGGTTGCTTCCTGTCATCATTTCAGTTGATTTGAGAGAGAGAACTTTTAATTTTTAGGGCATTGAAATATTTCGTGACTCGGTAATAAATCTGAGGTTGTAATGTTCTACAGCCTACAAGACGCTAACATTTTTTTCACGGGGGGAAACTCTTCACAATAAACGCTTTAATGGTATTTGAAACATGTACATGTGAGCATTTCTCGATTGTCTAGCATATTCCGATGATTATTTCTTTATGTTCTGACCACCTTTTTCAATGCCAAGTATTTACTGATTGCATTTAATTTTCCTCTTGTCTATTGTTGACTCTTGAAAGATGGGCAGATTCCTTTCAAATGTTGTGAACATGGAAGGTAGACTACATCCATTACCTGCCCTTACAGTGCTGTCAAGAGAGTAACCTAGGTTCACTGCAAATGTAGTGGAGTGTAATCATCTACCTATCTACAAATGTTATTCGATATAGAGAGTAACCTACCCACCATTACAATGTTGTCCGACAGGGAGATTAATCATCTTTCTACTGTTCTGTTTCTCCTTATTTCAATCTTGCCCAGACAATGTTGTCTACATGAAAAGTAAGCTACCTGCCCTGACAATGTTATCAAGACGGAGTAACCCAGGTACCCTTCAAATGTTGTCCGACAGGAAGAGTAAGCATCTACCTATCTTCAAATGTTGTCCGATATAGAGAGTAACCTGCCCGCTCTTACAATGTTGTCCGACCGAGAGATTTATCATCTTTCTGGCGGTCCTGAAAATGTCTACATGGAGAGTAAACTACCTGTCCTGACGATGTTGTAAAACAATGTTGTCGACAGCGAAAATAACGTACCTGCTGTGACAGTTTTGTCCGACATAGCCACTGAGAATGCTGCCATCTATTGGAGACGCCTGTGTATATAGCAGAAAGTAGTACGTATGATTCTTGCCAGCTGGGGGCATCGGTCCCATGTATGGTAGCACTGTCTGTCCATTTTGAATGTTGCCGTCAGGAATATTGGTAACCATCCAGTGAACAATGGGTGCATGGCTAGCAGATGCATCGGGATCAAGGCAAATAAGTGTGTAAGTGTCGGCTATAAGCATTATGGAATATTAGATTAATCTCATATTACATGTATGTACAAATAAAAAGGAAATTCACTGTTTTAAAACAAACTAATATTTATATACCCTTTCTCCGTCAATTTGCATTATGCTTATAGAATAATTAAAAAGTATATTAAGAGAGATGCATGAATTACATTCTTACTAATTTTGGACTGTGCTAAAATTCCGGCTTTTGTGAAACTGACAGATGGGACAACCGCGGTGCGAACATCAGCAGTATTTACATATGTTGTGGCAGCAGAATTCAGAGTGATTGTTTTTGCTCTGGAAATGGGTAAGAGAACGAATACTTTAATGAGAGACTACCACTTCTGAGAATTCTACCTACATACATTGCGGTATTACTATAAGGGATCAATTTCTAGCTAAAACTTCTGAAATACGTTCCAGGACTCAAATTATTTCACAAAATAATTTAGGGTAACATATAGATCTCCTTTTCCTAAAATATCTTCAAGAATTTGCTAAAAAATTGATCATTTGCATCATTTATAATCATTCAATCATTTATAAACTCACGTTTGAGTATATGATGAACAGCAAGAATCAAAAGTTATATCTGATGGATGGAAGGTGACCGATAAAGAAACGTCTAATTCCGTGGCTTTTGGAATAAATGGACGATTGTGTTTCAGCAGTACTAAAAGTCACAGGTTAGATCTTTGTTTAAAAATCCATGAGAGATTGACACATAGATCATTGTAGTCTTTGTTTAAGAAAAAAAATTATCTTGGCGCAAATAATTAATTTGTTTTATTTATTTATTTAGTTTTCGTACGCTTGAAATGAATCAATCTTTAAAAAATCATTACCTTCCGTCTCAAAATATGGACATAAATCCGCAATGTGTAGATCCATCAAAGACTGGATGGCATAGGGGTCACGTACCACATTTATCCAGTTCAAAGCAACTGGACCTGTCCCATACATACATGTATGAAAACAAGATATCAACCTGGACATACATTGTATATATTAATCAATTATTTCTTGAATTTTACGGAAAAAAGAACAAATTTATGCATAAATAAACTGCCTGAAAACCTGTCAACCCAAGGGCAGTAATTACAACTCCCAGGTCTGTCGTCTGTTGTAGCATTTGTTTTGTAGAATCTGAGACCACGACGGCGTTAGATTGTTTATACACAATGAAAGCAAATGGATTTGGCTCCGTTTGTGGTGGGATGGGGTGTAAATACGGTTTTATTGTCTAAAAGAGATACATATCGTAGGTTCTGTAGATATTTACAGAAATGTTTTCTTTCGTTTTTGTAAGATTTTAAAATGTAAAAATTTGTCAGCCATCATACTTTAAAAATCTAGATGAAACAGAAATAATTTTAATATATTAATACAAATCTAATGAACTTTCATTCATTAATAAATTTTTTGAAACTTAATTATGTCGAAACCATCAATGTGTCCTATATTTCAAGTATGTCGTAATTAAAGTATTTATGACGATTGATCAGAGGTAATGGTGTTTAAAAATAGGATCATCAAAAGATTTACATGTAAACTTACTTGTCCGGATGAAACTACACCATGCGCAATATTGACAAATATTCCGTGAACATACAGGTTTCCAACATCATAAATAACAAGGGTGTCGAATTCACTCTTTGCAGAATGCCACTGAACTTTTGGAAATAAATGTACATCATAGGATTTATAAACACCATCACCGGGTTTTACTTCTAGATAGTTACCATTCCATACTCTGACCTTTGATCCGCATGTTGAATATGATCCTGAAAAAATCAATACATAAATAAAGGTATTTCTCACATTAAGGATATCTAATGTTTGTTTAAGCTGATTTCAATATCTTAAGAAATTCCTGATAAGTTTAACTCACTATATTACAATAGCTAATGAATCAATACTATAAAAAGGGATGTTACTTTCAAACCTGTATTTTCAAAAACCCAATATCTTTTGTCCAAAAGAAAAAAAAAACAGAAAAAATTAAAAACTGTTTTTTTCTTAATGGTAGAGGAGTAAGCTGTCCGTTTTCCTATTCATATCAAACAGCTTTTTTCACTGAAGAACTCCATATTCATTATTATAAAATATACAACATTAGATTAGCTTTATTTTAATATACTTCATCCATTTCCTTAAAACAGAAAGGAGGTTATCATTGCTATTATGTATATATATAAAAGTTCAAAAAAAAAAAAAAAAAAAATTCCTTACCTTCTCCATATGTGTATGTAATGTTGATAGTTCGGTCGAGTTTAGTAAGGTCCAATCCAAGGCGGCTTCCAATGCTATCGACTGAATCTTCTCTAGCGTTTGTGCAGTTGAATGATGTCGAAGATCCTTTTGGGCACACAGACTTGTAAGGCACACCGAACCAGAAGGTGGAAGTGTTTGTTGCTGCCTTCTTGATGTATTGGATACATGGTTTTTCTGTGATTTTTGTTACATCTGTCGAGCAGGTAGACACATCTGGTTCTGTTAAAAAAATTGGAGTCAAATTTCATTTTTAAACACTTCTGCTGAAACTACAGAATTGTTCATTTGCAAACCAGAGATCACATATATCAGAAAATATTCAAATTTGTTAATTTTAACTGAATGTAATTATTTAGACCTTGCTTAAATTGATTTTTTACTTTGAGAAAACTTTGTTCAGTACGTCTTTCAATACTATGAAGTAATGTTAGAATTGTCATATGTAAGTATTTAAACCATGGTTACATGTAGGGAGATAAGATAAATTATATTTATGTTACACATGGTCATTAAGTTTTGATGCCAGACACACTTTACTCAATAAGTGACAGTTAACTGCAACATGAAATACATTTTCATTTGTTCTTTTTTCTAGTGAACATTGTTTTAATTACGTGGACAGTGATTCCCAACAGCAAAACGGTCACAGCTGAGCTCAGATGGCCAGTCAAATCCATAGAATGAAAAAAGAAATGAACACTCGGCAAGAGACTTTACACATTCTGTGGTACATGGCGGCAAAACCTGTGTCGTCTGCTGATCACATTTGGGGAAGTATACACTGCACAGGAACGGAAGCAGAGACTGGCTACAGAACGAGGTTATTAATGGCAGGAACTGGTTGAATTCGATCTCTGCGTGTGGAAAATCCAAGTGTCCGAGAACATTTGGAAACACCGTAGAATTGTAAGACCCTTGTCCTTTTGAGCACTTGTCATTTAACAATTTTACACATTGATTTGCTGTCAATGTTAAAATTTGATTGGAAAATATCAGGAAGACGACATATGAAAACTGATTTGCATTCCACATTGTACCCAAAATATCAATTCTAGTTATCGTACTACCAGTATGCTTATCATTTAATCCTGTGTGTTATCTGGTATCATTGACATAATTTGGCTTAGTTTGTGTAGGACAACTGTTAAAACCCAAAATCAAAATTTTGTTGGTCATTCCACTAACTATCATAATTTGCAACTTTTTATCATCGAACGTATGACAACAGTCATTTACATGAAACGAAGTATATATCGAAGAGTATGTTCTCCCTAAATAAAAAATGGGGGATATATCTCTCAAACCTTTGCTCACAGTGTTCTCAGGTAATTCGATTTCCAATATGGCTAAACAACTTGGCAAGGTCGTAAGGAAACTACACCATTTGTACACTTAACAAAACTTCTAAGTGTTCACTCTAATAAATGTATTTATTTAAAAACTACATGATGGAATGGTATGATATTTTCAAATTATTATAACCAATGAGTCTTCTCAACAATTGTCGAAAGAAAATCACTTATCGCCGATGAAAACCAATGTCCGGTGACGAAGCTTAAAAACAATAAATCTGTACTTTGCGACACGTGGTTTGTGTAATCAGCTTCTTTTTGTGATCATTATCAATTTTTAACAATTGGTTTAACTAAAAAACACAAAACATGGGCAAAATGACCATTGAGAAAGGAGGGAGAGCCTTTGGAATTTTGATATCTGGATCATCCTTATGACACGTTTCACTAACTTTTATTTTACTGTTTATTTGTCCTTGATAATACATTTAAAAATTAACAACCAGTATAAAAATCCATTTAAACAAATTTTTTATAGGTTATGTTTCATTTTTATCGCCAACTTATCCCAATTTGAAAGCTTTGGACAAAATTTAACCGAACCGGAAGTGATCTGGATCTTCGTCTGAGGCCAAAGTTTCGCGTCACAACCAGGTTAAAAGATTGTTACATGGTCCTGAACCACTTTAGAAACATTTAAATCAGCAACTTCAATGGTAAGAAAATGGCAAAAAATTGGTGCTCAATGCAGTCCAATATCATCTCAAACAGTCTGAATCATCCTTAAAGAGGTACTCTAGCGTGCGTAACGCCAAGGAGGGCCTAAGTGTTGACAAAAAGGCATCTGTGTGATGAACTGGCCTGACAAATACCAGGATCTGAATCCCACTGAACACATTTGGGACTTTCAAAAGGAATGTCCAAGCCCCCCCCCCCCCTCCACACAATTTCAACGGTTTAGAAAGATCCGGCCATGCAGTAGGTGTGGCAGCAGATGGGTCAATATCCTACTGAGGGGTACATGGTATCCATGAGAAAAGGATGACTGCAATAAATTGAACGAGTGGTGGTCTTACTCCATAGAGAGTATTTTATGTGAATTTTCATTTTGAGGGTACATCATGTCCTTGACACTTTGTTTTAAAGTCTGACGAGATACTTACATGAAATTTGCGCAACATCGAACTGAAATATGCATCATCAACCATGAATTAAGGAAATTATTTATTATATGCATTTGTTCTTTAAAACTTAAAAAATGTTATGTGAACACTTATAGCCGGTTGCGTATCTCGGATTTAAACCTCCGATCAATGATTCCAGGTTTTAATCCAAGTTTACACGTTGCACACAGGTAAGGCTTGGCTGAGTACAGCTCAGAATTACGGTAAATTCTGAACCTGGTATAGGGGTGGTTTAAACCCAGCTTGATATCGTTTCCATGGATTTTTGGTAGAATATTTTGATATTTTGAACTGTTTTGATGTTCCAGAAATGTTTTATGGTGACGATGATTGTATTGAAAGATTTCGCCATATTAAAAAGGCTATTCTACAAGAAATTATTTATGGTAATATTGAAGACTTTTTTTGGCACATTTCTTCAATGTGTCGTTTTAGATAACACTGATGCAGCTGAAGTCTTAAGTTACTAGAAATTTTTAAATGGGAATTTATTCGGGTACACAAATGTAAAATAACAAAAAAAGTTATATAAACTTTCTCATATACCAAATTTAAATCAATTTACGAATTTCACACTTCAAACAATGCAAACAGCTGGTGATACACATTCCAATAGTTTCTAATAATGCCGAACCGAATTTCTTAGAAATTAAAAGTTTATTTTTTATCATTGTGTAGGCTATCCACATGGCTGTAGGACCGGGGGGGGGGGCTGCCCCGCCTTAATAATTTTGCTGATATATTGAATACTCTAGAAAATATAGCTAATGTATGATTGTGCCTTCTCAATAATAACGTATGATGACGTTTTGTTTTTTTTTTTTTTAATTTGCCTGTCAAGGATATTTGGGTTGTGCCCCACAACTAAAAATGTTTGGCTGTGCCCCCCCCCCCCCCCAACTGAAAATGCTTACGGCCTGATCCTTGAGAACATGACAACAAACTCACATTTATCAATACTTGTACCGAATTGAATGTTTCACTGGATTGCTGGCTATATGAATAATGCCCAAATAATCTCTTTGTTACATTAGTTGTATATCAAACTAAACATTCTAAACAACTAAGTACTAATGGCTTGATATCTACAGAAAAGGTATCATTTGATATTAAATTGAAAATTTAAATATATACATTGTTCCTACCTCTGTCTTAAGTTTTGGTATTGTTTCTATTGTTACTTATTCCCAAGACCCCCCTCCCAGTTTTTCCTCTCTTCAGTCTTTTGGAAAAGCTGTATTATGTTTGCCATTTCATATTTTCTTATGGTTTGAGTTTCGATGACAGATCCTGTGGTTTGAATTAAATTGTATTGCAGTTTTTTCTGCATTTTAATTAACAATTTACTATCAATATATATCTTTGTTTTTAAATATATCCTTTCGAGATTCAACCAGATTTATCAAAAAATGTTTGAAGAGCTGTAAAATTAGGAAACTTACTAGCCTTCAACAGTTTAATTTGAGTAAGTCAAGATTAGGTAAGCCTTACTCAGTTTTATAGCGTGCAACAGAAGTACGTCTCAAGTAAACCCGACTCAACTGGGGTTTAAACCCGGCTTTCGTGATCCGCGGATCAGCGGCTGAGCTGTACTTATCTGAGCCATAGGTACGCAACCGGCCATTAGAAGTTTAGTTCAGTGTATAACTGGTCTTATTTGTCTTAAGAAAATGGGAAAATTATCAAATTAAACAGACTTAGTAATTCAAACAATATTCATAAAACGTAACCTTTTTTCAAAAGGAAAAAAATGTAGGTCTGAAGGTGATTCTGCACCTTATTATGTAAAATAGCTGTATATTGATAACATATCAAGAAATGCTCTATCGTTTGCTATTTCCCCAGTCTTCCTTCCTGCATATGTCCTCATTCCTGCACCTTATTATGTAAAAATAGCTGTATATTGATAACATATCCAGAAATGCTCTATCGTTCGCTATTTTTCCATTTTTCCTTGCTGCACGATTTCCTCATATTTGACGTCACCATGAATGACAAGTATTAACTTCCCAATAATGGGGAGATATTTCTATATATTTTTTATTTTAAATGATTCTACTTAATTATGCATTAGAATCTTTGTATACTTACTTAGAAAAATGGGTGTTTGCAAAGGTGTAAAGAAAGTGTTTGGAACAATTTTAACCGTAGGAAGTATTGAAAAACCCCTGGGACTCCACGAAAGTAAGAGAAGCGACGGACGTGTGTTTTGTCTCCTATGTGCGACCAGCTGCATATCTTTTCTTTTAGGCCAGGTAAAATTAATCTTTAGATTCTCATCCCCGCCCGCCCCTCTCAAAGTGCCCCGCCCCATTGCTTTTTATTTTGCTTTTTGGGTGCCAAACATATTATTTTCATGTATTTTTATTCAGCAAGAATCTGGGTCAAAATTTAAGAGTTATCTCCCGTCTGTATTAAAAATCGCGTGGCGCTATTTATAGCAAAAAAACTATGTGAAGAATTGAGAAAAATCAGCAATAAAAGCAGTTTAAATATGTAAGGAAAAAATAATTTGTCAGTATAGAGAAGGCAGAAAAGCAAAAATAACATATAAACACATCTAGATACCATCACTGGCATGTGCAAGTTTTTAAAGAGATTTTAACCAAGTAAAAACAGACGAAGAAAATGCACAGGGTCAAGTTTTAAATAACGATCTCCAGTTGTATGTGATTTTGCATTAAAAAAAATAAAACATCGTCCAAGGACTTCAGAGAATAATAGTACTAAGGAAATGTTAAATCTTAAAACTGTTCAGGCCTAGGCTTTTCAGTAGAATATTTTACAGATTTACACAATCCTGTTTTGCAAATATGATATATTTTAATGTCGAACATGTCAATTAAGTCTCAAGAACGATTGAATGTATGAGGACAGTGGAAATCTGTGACAAATCACACAGAACAAAAGGAGTTGTTGGTAAAACTAAAAGGTATTTGGGGAAAGGCCGATGAGAAAACATGCATATGCAATTTATTAGGATCAGCACCTCATTTTGTTTGCAGTATGCCGTATCTGTGTACTTGATAATTTGTTAATAAAACTATAAATATTTTAATTTTCTATAACAAGAATCTTCTGTAGATATTTAAAAGAATATGAAAGCAATAAAATCTATTCATATTGGCATTAACATAATATAAAAATTATGTGAACGAATGTTTTGTTGATACTTTCAATTATAAAAAATAAATAATAAAATCCGCCCACCCGCCCCACTTTTTTAGCAAATTAGGATGAGAATCTAAATTTTAAATTTATGTGGCCTTACCAATCCTTTTATTTTTTGGTAAACCAGACAATTTAACTGGCAATATAGAAGCCAAATCATATCTTATCATTCAGTCGAGCATCGGTATTGTTTTTGTGCTATCTATCATCGTGTGGTCGGCTGTGGTTAACCTTTTAAAAAGAAAACCCAATGTTTATTTGCGATCATCAGTACCAACATTCGACCCTGGTGCAGAAGTAATCAAAATGTTTTTGCTGGGCTTCACTGTCGGAATAATCATAAGCCAGGGGTTAAATATCGTGGTGGACATAAGTTGTTTAGAAAATTTCATCGATTATCA